ATTACTCATAACATCGTTATCAATTTGTGTTGTGAATAGTAGCTTTAAAAAATCAAAAGAAACAGAGAGATTGTCCATGCCACATAGACGAGAATTTGAAACAGGGCGCTTGTATTAACCACATTCTTCTCCTCCAATTCTAGCTCCTATTATCGTGAATCCTTCTATTCATGATAAAATCAAACACATAAATGATGGAACGAAAAAATCAAATAAAAGAACGTAGAGACACCTTCAGTTTTAAATCACAAAAAAAAAATGGACGACAAAAAAAAGATAACAACATTTCATAAAATGATTCATGAAATTTATATAATCAAAACTTGTAATGACATCACATCCTAAGCAAAAAATGAATAACATCTCACTTTCTTTTCTTCTTCGTTTCTTGTTGCTTCTAACAAATAAGTTATGTTTCGCGCGGGTTATCGCTAATAATTAAAAAAGGTTCAGGCGATTGTGTAAGGAACAAACATTTTGAGACAAAGTCCCAAAAAGGGGTGCTTTATTGATGAAGATTACAATTAGAAATAAACAGAATGCCTCCAAGAGGTGCAAGCACATGAGTACTAAAAAGAAATGTTTTAAAGTTAAACTAAGAAATTTAAATTACATATTCTCTGTTGAGAGTATTTGACTCGGGGTCCTTTTCTCTATGTCTTCCTTTCCTTTTTATACTCCCTTGATAGTTTTTTTGTGAAAAACTGCTTGGAAACTACTTGGTGCTCTATAACTACCCACTTTCTTCATGATGGCTAACTTGTCATGGAACTGCCGTCTCTAACTGTTGCATTACTTTTGTCTTTTAACTGCCTACAACCGGGATTCTTGGATCGTGGGGTGTGATAAGGTTGTTCAATGACCGTTTCAATAACTGTTGTACTGGATAACCATAATACCTTATATTCGATCAGATCCTGGGCGACTAGAAGGTTTGGGAGAGAACAGGATCATCGTTCTAGGCGACCATAAGGCACTCCATTCGCCCAGATCCTAGATGTCTTGCAAGCTTGGGCGATGATGTTACTTTGTTCGTGGGCCTCCACTGCATTCATTAATGGTCCTATTTGGGCCTTCATCCTGGATTTTCTAATTGCACTTCATTCCTTGGACTATTTAATTTGAGCTATACTTTTTGTATGCTACCTCGCCCTTTAACATGCTGAGTGTTTGAGACAAAATCAGGGCAATGATGATGCTGCCATATTCCTGATTTTTCTGTATTTGCACTCACTTCTCCTTTACATCTTGCACATAGGATATTTCCTTCTTCTCTAGACTATTTTCCTTTGATATGTTCAAAATAACTGGGATGTGGCCCAGGATCTTCTTCACCGTCATCTATAACCAATTTGAATCTTTGCAACCTTTTTTTAAACCAGTCGTCTCCATGTTCACCTCAAGTGGCTATGGGGAAGGATTTTCATCCACAACCATTTTCTTCTTATCTTCGCACGTGATTCGCCCTGATTCGATAGCATCCTGTAACACATGACGAAAGATCAAGCA